CCCCCCCCCCCCCCCCCCCCCCCCCCACCCACACCCATAAAAACAGCTGGACGTTCAAACGCGCCGCGACATCTCCGAACATCTGCTTGCGCGCCTTACCGTTTCCATGATCGACGGAGAGGGCAAAATAAAAACGCATAGTTGGCCGGTTCACTCCATCAGAACATCTGAGAGGCGGCGGAGGCTGCAGGTTATCCCCGTTACAGCCCGGTTACCAGCCTGGACCCGTCCCCTCCCTGCCTGTGCTGCTGGAGCGACGGCTTGGATCAGCCGCTGCGTCAAGCCGCACGCAGGCAAAGCGTGCTGCACATCCGGCAGGAAACTTAACGCACATCATAAGCGTAAAGAGAAAAATACATCTGTAGCTGTTTTACAACGTGATTCAAGAGATTATTTTACAGGTAGATTTTTAAATTGGTCTGTCAGGAAACAGACAAAGAACTATTGTTTAAGGACAGGAGGCAGATTCTCTCTCAAAAAAAAAATCTTAAATAGCTAAAAACTACTCTCGCAAGTAATATCAAATGGAGAAAGGTAAAAAAAAAATGACAAATTGAAAGTGGGAATTTGGAAAAAGGCCCCTGCAGAGTTTAATAAAAATCACCAAACGACGCATAAAAAGACCAGGAATAGGAAAAAGAAGTGCATACATTAGACATCTATATATACTTCACAAGAAAATCACAAGCAATTTAATGTTAAAGTGTCTAGTACATGTTGAGATGGGAATCCTGTACCTTTACCTAATCCCTGAAAAGGTCTTGTCTCCATAAATCAATTTATTCGTGTAGGACATAGAGGAGAGAGAATTTTGCTATATTTATATTAATTGGTTTGATTATTTGCCTTTTGTTTGCTAATACAAAGAATACATCTTTTTAAAAGGGGATAAATAGAAGGAATTATTTTGCTCTTTATAAAGCTACCGGTCTTTATATCTTTCTGTACCGTTATTATGAACATATAGAAAATATAAACACTTTGTAATTTTGAGCAGTACAGAGCAAACACACAGGCCAGTCGAAACTTTATTTTAAAGGTTAATTAATTGCGTTTCTGCTTTCTTTCCTGTTGTTTTTGTGCAGCTTTACGACTTCCCGTCACCTTTCCTGCTCCTGGTGAAGATGCTGGATCTTAAAGGAACAAGCCTTGACAGAACTGAGTGGGTAAAACATCTCATCTGAATTTTCTCATTCGGCTGTGTTTCTGACTTTAACTGCAACATCTGAAACAATGATTAGAGGTGAAACAGTGGAGACTTTTCACTCATTGCTTTACTTGGTCTTTGACATTTAAAACTTGCCGAAGGAATAAAATAAATACGCCCTCTGCTGCTGAATCTAGATATTGCAGTGAAGTACCCATGCTTGTAGATAAGTGGACTGTTTCTCATTTTTGGTAACTATTTGGCTTTAAGCATCGGTAAACAACTTAAAATGTGATCACGGTTATATTAAAAAAAAACAACTTTATTTTAAAGTAATTCAATTGTTTCAGTTGTGGATCAATGAGAGTCACAGGAGAAATTATGTCTTCACCTGGATTAGAAAGATTCAAACACATTTAAGTATCAACCTTCATCAGAAACCACCATCATCAACATCATTGTCATAATCATTTTATTTATGACCATCATCATCATCATAGTCTTCTTTCTTCCTCTTTTATTTCTACTTCTACTTCATTTTATTCATCATCAATTTATTCAATATTATCTTTTTCTTCAAAATCATCATCATTTTCTCTTTCATCTTCATCACCACTCTTATCATTAGTAGCAGCAGCAGCATGATGTTACTCATTACTGTCATTTTATTCCTCTTCATCTTCACTATCACCATCATCATTATCATTTCAGTCATTTCATCTCTATCATCATCATCATTTGTTTTAATCATCATCTCATTCTCATTTATCATCATCGTTAACATCATCGTCATAATCATCCTCCACCTCATCATCATTTTTCTCCTTTTTTGTCATCAGTATGTTCATCGTTATCATCTTAATCTTGTTCATCATCTTAATCTTCATAATCTTCAGCATCATCTTCTTTTTCATCATCATATTCATATTTCATCAACTTGTTTATCATCTCCACCATCACTTTCATCATACAAATCATCTTATTCTCATCATCATCATGATTTTCTTCTTCTTCATCAGATCATTACATTATCTTCATCCTCAACACCACCATCATCAAAATCACCCTACTCTTCATCGTCCTCACCTTCCTTCGTCTGAGCATTTTCTTCTTTTTTCATTCTCAGTATGTTCATCTTCTTCATCATCGTCATTATAATCATAATCTAACTACTTAAATCTTTACTTTCATTATAATCCTCCTCCTCCTCATCATCATGCTCTTCTTCTCAATCATTATTTTCCAACATCCTCACCCTTACCTTTATCAACATAATCAAGCTCTTGCAATGGTCCTGTCAAAGTCCAGACATCAAGCCTCTACACACCACTGAGGTTAAAACAGACAGTGAAACAACATACTGGACATGTAAACAAGTAATATATAATACAAAAACAAACTAACAAGAAAAAGTAAAGAGAAATAAAATGACCAATTAAAGAGGATAAGAAACTGAGGAACACAATCGTGTAAAAAAGCAACACTGGAATTTCATAAAAACACAAACGAGTGGGAGAAACTGTTGAATTATGGGTGTACTTGGTTTAATAAACAATGTCAGTGCAGAATCTGGTAAAAAAAAAAAAAAAAAAGGTTATTTTTATTATTCCCTGATCAATAAATGTACTAAATAAAAGTTTAAAGTGTACTTTTAAATGTATTTTTTTAACATAAACTTTTGCCACTGAGACAATATTTTATTCCCATCATAATATTTCCTTAATCCATTCGAAGCATTGCAAATTTGCACAATTTCAAACATTGAAAATTGCTAAATATAATAAATGCACAAAGTTAAAAAGTAGTTTTCAGTCAGTCATTTTCTACCGCTTCTTCCATAGTGGCAGGCGGGGAAGCCGGTGCCTATCTCCAGCAGTCTATGGGCAGGAGGCGGGGTCCACCCTGGACAGGTTGCCAGTCCATTGCAGGGCAACACAGAGACACACAGGACAAACAACCATGCACACATTCATTCACACCTAAGGGCAATTTAGAGAAACCAATCAACCTAACCTTCCTCCCAAAGTCCAATAACTGTGCGAGGAAGCCGGAGTACCCAGACAGAACCCACGCTTGCACTGGGAGAACATGCAAACTCCATGCAGAAAGACCCCCAGCCTGGGAACTGAACCCAGGATCTTCTTGCTGCAAGGCAACAGTGCTACCAACTGTGCATCCCAAGCTACTAAAAAGTAGTTTAAACATCTAAAATATTTTATCGTAATGTGTCCAACCTGGCTTAAACTGTAATTAGGTAACCTTGCAAAGTGACCATAAAAAGTCAGAATTAGTATTGTGAGGGGTCCAAACATCACTTTACATCCCATAATGTCTTCACTGACAGCTTTAGGGCTGCTTCCTTGCAGGACTTTCAGATGAAACTGCAGACCTTCTACAGACCAACAGAACTAGATTACAATAGAGTAGCTTCGTACATTATTACAAAGACATTTATTCTGGCATTTAATACAACATAATGGAGCATGTTGTTATTTAATGTTATGTTTGCTTTATGGCAGGTTTGAAAATCGTTTTCACACTGTTTTAAAAAAGTGAAAGCGTTTAGTAAAGGTAACTGCAAAGAAAAGTGATATAACCTGTAAATTTATCCTTAGACATACTTGTGCAGTCCTAATACTTTACCAGCTACCCAGAAACATAACACTCATAAAGGTTTCTTGAGAAAGCTACATGTGACTCCAAGAAACTTCCCCATCATAAACACTGACCCCATGGCACCAAGAT